TTTACAGAAAGGAGATCGAGCGTCGAATATACGCGGAAGGATTTGAGATTTGTCAGACTCGTTGGTTGCAGCTGACACCCGAACAGGTCGCGGAGTTCTACAGCAATCGCTTCGGCGAACTGAGTTTCCCTCATCTGGTGGCGTACATGTCATCGGGATCCATTATAGCGTTCGTATTAGCAAAGGAGAACGCTGTTGAAGAATGGAAGAGGCTCATAGGACCAACCACGGTATTAGAATCCTCGAATAATATTTTAAGAAACAATTTTCCTTCTAATCGAGATTTATTTTAAGAATCGCTTCTCAGGTGGCCGAAGCGCGTTTGTATTTTCCTGACAGCATCCGAGCGAGATATGGTCGTAAAGGAGACAACATAAAGAACGCTGTCCACGGCAGCTGCGGTCGCGAACGGGCCAAGAAAGAGATCCACTTTTTCTTCCCCGAATGTAGATTTCTCTTTGTTTTATATTTCTCCACAATACTTAATTTTCTTAACATTTAGTAGTTATTTCGATATCAAACTAGAAGTCTCTTCTTGTTTTTTTCTCAGTTATAACTGAGCCCTTGCTGAGAGACGAGACGGCTGAAGATTTTTTGTGGGACACTATTAACCCGGTTCTAGTCGATGGTCTAACATTGGTAAAGTAATCCTTGCCAATGAAAAGTTACATGTATATTTTGTCTCAATCCTATTTCATTAATTCTAAACAAATTTCTCTCTACAGTGTTGCAAGCACAGACCGGCCGATCCTGTATTATGGTTGGCACACTGGCTGATCCTGAACAACCCTAATAAGCCTAAACTACCGGAAGATCTCGCTTTAATTCCGACATAATTCTCTCTGAATCATCTCGTGAACCATCGACCTGTTCTACACTTTAACATGCAATACCCGTCTTACCCACTGGATCTATTTCCTTCGAAGTTTCTTGACGACGACATGATGGCATCCTTTTGGCTCTCCTCTCCGCCGCGGTGGTTTGTGGACTGTACCTCGAAACATAAAAAGGAAATTTCAAAGTTCTGCCGTGTAAAGTAAAACTCGCGTTGCTGAATTTTTATATTTTTTCCTTGTCTTTCGTTTGATGATTAAATTTAAAAGAATATTAAATATTCGTAAAAATTATTTAATATTGTTCTACAACTTTGAAGAGCTAAAACTCTTCTTTTCAGAGAGAATTTGTTTTATCTTATCTGTATATCGTTTTAGTCAGAACACAGTGAGAGAGGGAGAGAAAACGAAGACGTGGCAATAAAGTATATTACTCGCGCGACGCACACATTTTATTTCCAGTATATAATTACCTGGATTCCACCAAGCACTGAACGATTTCGATAATCGCTGGCTTCTCTCCGCTTATCCGAGAATAGTCCCGTTCGCCATTCGCGTCTTCCTCGTTCTTCCCGACCTCCACGTCACGGTCCGTTCGCCGCGAGGTACTCTCCTGCCTCTTTTCCGCATTCACTCCGCCCGCGATCGGTCGCCGTTCGCGTTGCTCGGGCCTCGAATTATCGTTCGCGCTCTGATTTTTCGTCAACACTCGCGGCGCACCGTCGACGACATCCCGTCCGTTCTCACATCGCACTCCATTCCGCTTCGGCTCCGCTCCGTCGATCTCGAAACGCACTCGCACCGCCGCTGTACCGTCCACATCATCGAAACCGTCGCGGCTAATTTCCTGCGGAGCCTTGATTAATTCATTGTCGACCTCGCCCGCCTCGTCGCCGTGCCTTGTCTCGCCGGTTCTCTGTCCGTTATCTCGCGATCTTTTCTTGGATGGATTCGGTGACGGGGAATCGTCAGTTCCGTTGACGGGTGACCTTCGAGACACGACGTCATTAAAAAATTAACATGTGTAATAACGATGACTTCGATTTATGTTAATATTTACGTTAATTTATGCTTATTAAGTATTGATATGCTATAATTTTCCATCACGTTCATGATCATTGTAAGAAATTTGTCTAATTAATAAATATTAATATGTAATTATAAAAATTATATAGAATTTACTTTAAAAGTGCAAGATTTTTAAAAAGAGAAAGAGAAAAAAGACTCATTTTGTTCTCACCAATTAGTTTTAATGATACAAAATTTTATTTATATCAAGCGAATGATAATAATTTATATTTAAATACAACTTTATATATCGTAATGTTTATTTATTATTAGCATATTGATAGGAAATTGAGGATACCTTCGTGATGGGTACCGAGGATCCAGCCAGATGGGATTGATCAACGGCGATTTCTCGGATTTGGCGGAGCTGACGTGATCGGAGGAGCCGGTACCAGGTTTGTACCAGGGTGACGGTATCTTGAGGGACCTGCCTAAGGCCGGGCTGGCACCCTCGTCCTGATTAGAGGGTAAGACGGACAGGGAGACGCCCCGTCGTTCGGCCAGTCCGATCGGATCAACACTGGCCACCTTCACGTCCCAAGGATCGACGATGGATAGCAGCACTTTCTGCGTCGTAGAACAGAGACGAGATGATGATCACAGAGATCTGGGAAGCGTGGGAGGGGCGGTACGCGAGAACGGCGATCGCTGGAGCCGTCTGTGTGAGTGGACTCGTTAAGTCTCGTTAAAGTTATCCGCGGTGGACGCGCTCTCTCTTTCTCTCTCTCGCTCTTTGCGTCTGATTCCGATCGGGACGAGGCTGACTCTCAATTATAAAAGCGCACTCGTGGGAAAGATACGTCGACGTGAGAAATTCGAAAATTCTCCCGAGCGATCTTCTTCGCGGAAAAAAAAGATCCGATTCTTTCGGAGTAGGGGAGACCGGGGCTAACTCAACATCGGGGCAAACTTGACACTAGACTTTTTGCTAATTTAAATCTGTCGTAGAAACTTGCCTTTCCTACTGTAAATGCGTCTTTATGTACTAGTATTATCAACGGGATTTGGTGACATTCTGAGTTATAGTGTAATTTTTAGCGCGACATAAGCGTTTTTGATGGTGAAAAGTAATTTTTCTGATCTCTCGAAAATTTCTACTCTTTCATCGAGCTTTACTCTTGCAAACCTATATGTAAGTGATTTTCATGGTAAATTTGATGCTCTATATGAATCCGATAATCGTTTTTGGATATTTTCAAAATTTTCATGTTTTTGAAGTGACAAAAGTGAAAAACGACGTCCGGGGCAAAGTCAACACCACGCCGTTTTGTCGGCTCTCAGTAACAAACGACGATGCTTGTCATGCAGCCGTATGGCTCATGACAAATGTATGCGCACGTCCGATCGCGAGTTTACCTGCATTAATTGTTTTTCAGACATGAGTTTGAATGAAGATAATTGAAAGTTCAACAATTTTTGTTTTCATTATTTTAAATAATTGTTCTAGCTACTTTATTCCGAATTTTTGTACTTTTTAAATACACAATAAACAATGTATTTTCATTTTCAGACAGTCAAAAATAAGTTCCAGATCAAATTGTGTCGATTAGACAAAGTGTTGAGTTTGCCCCGGCGGGGTGTCGAGTTTACCCCGGCATTTTTCAATTCGAAAATTTGTCTTTGCGTCACTTTTCCTTTCCTGGCGGCAAAACAAAGCGACGTACAGCAAAACTTTCTGAATCAATTTTGTACCTGAAGGAACACTCTTTAAATATATACCATTGAATTTGCCTAAAAATTTTAATTAAATATTAAAAATTGCCTTTGAAAAAATAGTGTTGAGTTAGCCCCGGTTTCCCTTAATAAATTAATTAATTGAAATTTCAGCGACTTGGTAAAAACACAAGATAAGATAAAAAATTTCTTTCCAAATAAAACTATGAATTTATGCGAGTAACGAGTTTTTCCGAATAAAATACAGTGTAGGATGAATACCTAATCGGTAAATCAATAGTTTTCAACCGATTCGCCGATCGAATTGATGGATCATTTTTAGCGTCTGTAAGTTTGAATCAATGATGGCGCGTGCTCATCCTAGCGCAATAATGTTATTCTATAATAGCTCATCGGCCTTTTTGCTACTGAACGTGAATCATTTGTCGGCAACATCCTAGGAACATAGAACTCGTAATGACATCATGGTGACGTTATCGTGACTTTATTCATCATTTAACAATTACCTGGACATGTCCAGATAACTTTTAAGTGATGAATAAAGTCATGACGACGTCATCGGGATATCATTACGAGTTTTATGTTCCACCTAGAACAATGCTAATTTTTCAAAGAAGTTTAACGTCTTTTAGTCTTCGGCATTTACCGATTTGCCGAATAGACGAGACAGGTGAATCATGTAGAACGGTTTGACAGTTCGATTTGTTTCTGCTAGTTCCATTACGTAATGACACGTAAATCCATAACGAGTGATTGTTTATGTGATTGTTATGTCACGACTAACAAGAAGAGCTAGTTAAAGCGTGAAGTATTATCCATCAGAGCGTTACGGAACAGGAAAATCTTTGCAGCGTCGATCTACTTTGATGCAAATCTATGCACATTCGAATTGTCGCGATTCGTTTCAAGTTCCGTGCGTAAAACTATTGTTCTTTTCGAAGCAAACGTTTGAAATAGCAGTTAAAACTAATGCTATTTCGATACAAATTTGAAGGAATAATGCATTTCATGATATATAATGCATTTTCCTTGATTATCGGAATTTTTAGCCAGATACGCATTTTTCCTTGTTATTTCAGCATATTAGAACGATGATGAAACTGTGTCGATCATCTCAGTAAAATAATGGAATTGTGTCCGAAGAATCGTGAGATTTCTTAAGAATTCAGGTCAGCATCAGCATGTGATTAGATAATAATGCAGCATTTCGCAAATGAAGTTATTGTCAGGTATATTAATAAATCATTTATTAAATCATTTTTATGTCGTATCTCGCTTTGTAACAAGAATAAATCTTTAGACTTTGATAACAAATATAAAAAAAAACCTTCGATAAAATTAGAAGTTGATATTAAAATATTGAAGTTAATACAACAAACTGTATACATTGAAAATAAACAGCGGCAATAAAGTAACTTGTTATAAAGTTTCTGTTACTACACGGAGAGAATTTTCTCTTAAAATTTACCCTGAAATTATGGTAGTTGTGGGACAACATGTACCACCAAGAATTTTATGCGAGCTATTCTGATTAATATCTATACCATAATAAAAAATATTAATATCTATTACATTAAAATATAAAATATGTTTGATTAATTTTACTAAAATATATCTAAAATATATTTCAATAATTTTTCAAAATTTACCAATCTACTTGGTAATTTTTATCACGTTGTTTGTAAAATGTCTTTTGTACATTTTAAAAGTTCCTTGGTTGCCAAGTTGTCCCAAGTTTGTAGTGAATTTAAGAGTAAAATATAACAAAAAATTCTCTCCGTGTACAGTTGGCTTTTCTTGTAACAGAATGAGCGTAAAATAAACAAATAAAGTGAATTACAGAAGCTATACATATAACTCCTATATAGGTGTAAAAAGTTAATTACAGATGTGAAACCATTAATCTGTCAGAGCTATGGTCTGTAATTTAAAATTATAATCAGGCTATTATATTGCTCTATATAATATATTTGACCTTCTTTTTAAACTATAATAATTAGATTTGCAACGTAATATTAGCTAGAACGTACCAATATAATTTAACATTGTCAATTTTCTTCAACTGTTATCTTGAGAAACGTCATCGATAAGGCGGATGTTTTCAAATAAAAAAAGATTTTAATCTTTTGTAAGCATCCTGCGTTTGTTAAGATAGCTCACGCAAATATTATAATATTTGTCTTTAACTTATAATTATAATTTTATAAATTTTGAATATAAATATAAACTGACAGCATTTCAGAAATCACGAGAGACGTTGTCACTCTAATTATACAGAATAGAATTATATAAATTATTATAATAACGTAGATGAAAACAGTAAAGGAGCTCTCAAATTTCTTATACTATACTTGAATATCTTAAGAAATGTTAAAAAAGGTAAAAAAATAATTTAGATTTTAATATTTAGAATATTAATTAGATATTTTTAAGGAATTTAATTCACGTATAAAATTCGACTTATAAACGGTAAAGCTATACCTTTTCACCACCAGCCTTCTTTCGCTTTCTTTTAACGCGATCCATTTCTTTCAGACCTACAACAAGACCTTCTCAGCTGTTCTTAGCGTCAAGCCGGCGATTGGATTAAATCCGCGATAAGCGATTTCTCTACAAAGGAGTTCCACCTTCCGGAGCAGGTGGTCTTAAACTGATCTGTCGTTCCGTATATCGGCGGCCACTTAGCGATATCTTCTTAGACCGTCTTGCATGTATCGGTATCGCGTATACGAGGTCGCGTGCACACGCGAGAGCCTGCATACAGCCAGTTACAAAGGTATATTACGTAGAATGTGTACATCCACTTTATACACTGGTGATCGCGAACACGGTAATCTTGCGTAGCCGCGAGTACATGACTCGCTTCGAGCTTGTTTGTGCTTACATACTTTACGATCGGGGACTTTAAACCGAGATAGTATTGCAGTAATTATAATGGGGAACATCGTGCGTTATCCTTCTCCGCTGGGCAGCGCGGCCGCATTCCGCTGGAATATTTCCAACGAGTTTGCAATCCCTCCGCATGGCATTCGTGAACTGGTGCTTGTATATGTAAGCCTATTGTTAATTTGTTCGCGAATCAAGATTGTTTGGTTTTAAGTCTGGAAACGCGGCGAATTAATGAGGAAAAGGTGGTCTCACGGCGATCTCATTGAAAATTCTCTGTTTTGCGAAAATTTTCAAGATTCCACCTGGGACGGTCCTCATTTTCAGGACAAATATGTTGCGGCACTGGGAAAGCCGTCGCATTATTTCATCTCGATATTGTTTGCTTGCGTGTATGCCATGCGAATTCGCTTCACGTTATCAGATACATTTCAGATAACGCGTTACGTAAAAACAATTGTATTGCATAGATTGTGTTTATCGCGTTATTTTATCTATAACGCGTAATTATAATAATAATAGGCGAAGGACACTCCATTAAAAAAAAGCACAAACAAGAGTTCTATTTCTTCTGCTTTTTATTATACGCTTCTCAATAAGATGGCTCATAAAGAAATTGAATAATACCTCTCTCGCTAATTCGAAATACTATAGTTTTACAGCAAACGTTTCGCGAAACTGATGTTACACGGTAAATTGGAGCATTTGTTATTACGTACTATGATTATACAGAATATTTTAATTAACGCCTAAAGAGTTAACCGTAATGATATGGTCTTGTAATAACAATAATTAAATTATACTATCTAATTCGTCATTCTGCGTTTGACAGGCTCGTTAGCACGCTAATTAACGAGATTAACAAACAAATCGATTGATTTCCTAGTGAGACATTTAAAAAAAAAAAAAAAAAAACCGACAAACACAAAATAAACAAAATCTTTTATCGAACAGCTTGAAATGAAAGACAATTTTCGACACATTCGTACGACCTACGACACTAAGACTGTCGTAAGGCAATGACCGAATTGTAATAAAAATACTGCCAGATAAAGATAATTTTACAAAACTGTACAAAATATCATTAATCCGACTATCTTCAGATCTTTCGCATCAGAAGTCTCAAATTTAACTTGGACGTATCTCTGCGCTCACCCTGCACTGATTTTCTCAAAAAATACTCGCTACCAATAAACTCTACCAATTAACCACCCAGTTTCTTTATAAATATATTATTGCCATTCTCCAAATACGTGGCTGCTCCGGTGCCACAGACATTCTTTTCCGATCTAAAAATTATTCGTTCGACTACTTCATCGGGCAACGAAACCACTAAAGGTCTCGACGCGTTACTTCGAGAGAATCTTTCTGTTGCCGGTAATATAATAACCAATGAGACCTTCGGGTTTCTCGTATCTCAGTGATATCGGGTCCGATCAGGCAGATCAGATCGTGCGGAAGTTTCATTAGACACATTGAACAGAATTACATCACGAAAATTTTGTCGTTTGTAAATTCTAAATTAAATGTTAGGTGATAACCCGAAGGTTTATTCAGTTCATTTATTACCGTTTATAATAACATTTCCGGACGCACGTACATTGCTAACTACAATTCATAGATCACTTTGCATAATTTTCTCACAAAACCTTTCTCTCCCTCTCTCTCACTATCTATCTATCGACAAAACAATAGAAACCATTATTGTAACCGTCTTGTTCGCTCGACCGGATATCTAGGTGCACGCGCGAATATATCACATCGTATATCGATCGTCTTGTATGTGTGTTCACTCGGATACTCGCGCGTTCGATTATAATTACGCTATATTATGCTCTATATTTCTATTATCATTAACAGTATCATAACTATGCTCTCTCGCGAGCATATATATATATATATTTATTTTTTATTTTTCTCTCACCATTCGGATTTTACATTGCCACATACATTTCCCATTCGTCGCACGCGCTCGATACTCCATGAATAAAGTTTAAAAACGTTAACGGTAATAATATATCTATCTTTTTATTTATTATCTGCTGAAACTCGCAGTTAAGTAAGCGACGTGTTTAGAACGAGTGAATTTTAAGCGCTACGAGAAGGCAGGATGCGTACGTAGGAACGGAAAAAAAGAAAGAAGGAAAAGAAGAAGAGAGGGAAAACGAACGTCAGATCATATGAGCATAATGTGCAAGAGAGAACTGAGCTCCGGATATTCGCTTCCTACCGTGGATATCTACTAAGCCGAACGCGTATTACGGCCTTTTGCAAAATCCCGCTACGCGCAAAGTAGTGCTAAACGTTATCTTTATATGTTTCTTACTTGCTGTTATTATCAATATCTCTTTTAATATTATTAATGAGTATTATTTTTCTCCTTCTTATAAGGTAATAGAGGAAACCGTTATCACGCGACCTCATTACATTATTGTTCCGAGTTTTTAACGCCTCTTCCTCCTTTGCTAAATCTCGTTCACGCTTACATAATCGAGAGATGAGGGGGGGGGGGGGTAGCCCGAGATAAAGTTTCTCAATCGCGAGAACGTCGATTTAAAAATAGTTCTCGACTCTTATTACGATCCTTCGATTCACTTTTGCGATTCACGCGCAGTTCGCAGTTTTGCGTAATAATCAGATCGTTTTGTGTTTTTAGCACTACGCGAGACACCCATTATTAATCTTGCGGAGCAAGTCATTATCGATCTTATCAAAACGCACGCATACACACATACACACACATACAACTGAGTTTCTTCTCAAAAAGTATATATTTGTAATATTAATATGTACAGTTTGCTCTACTTTTTATTGACGCTAATACTCTATACATACTAATGAATTAACAAAACGTTTAGAGGACTGATCGATATTTTGCATATCGATTACGGGACACGTGGTACCAGCCGTAGCCACGCGTGTGTTAGGAATCCGTTTGTTACGCAGGATAGTTTAAAAAGAAAAAAGAAAAATAAGAATTCGTGCCTGCTTATAATGAAGTCATCGATGAATATGATATGTATCTATTTCATCTTTTCTCCCGCAGTCTTCTGGCTTCTAATCTTACAAACTCTCGATCGTAAAAAATATGAATGAAACTTACCACAGCGATAAATTGAACGCGCTGCCGATACTATTGAGATCCCTTACAAACGTGCGAAAAAGCGGTGGCTCTCGTTTTAAAATATCCTGCGCAACGAATTGACAAATTATTATTGATTTATAAAATATTGCACATTAGAAAATGCACAGGGTACCGTTTCTGTCGTGAACGCACGATCAATAACCAGATCCAACGAAAGAGAGTTTCGAGTCTATTAGGCGAGCGAGAGAAGGAACGTTTTACGTAAGACGATCGATTTTCTCGCCGGAAAACGAGTTGCGTGCTGTATATAATAATTCATAGGCCGGAAGGATAGGTGGTTTCTAGGCGGACGCGACCGTATCCCCGTGGTATAATAATAGTCTACGACAGTCTACGTATATCTGTACACTAATGTAATTCTCTTATATGTCATCGCGTGAGCGATTTTGTTCATCGTAACAGAAGGAGAAACGGCACGTGTTTCATCGACGAAACAAAAGTCCCAGCTATATTCGATATATACGTAAAAATCAGATTTATTCTTTTGCGCGCTGACTCGAGCTGCCGTCAAGGTTCTCTCTCCAGGTCATGGACGCGAGCATGGCATACAATATAAATCCGGGTTTAAATTTATACATCACATTTCGTTTTTCGATCAGATTACTCGCGAGCGCCGCGGTAATCCGTCGAATTTTTGTTTCACTGGTTTGAAGCATTTTTTTCACCGGGATTTATCTACATTCGCGTATGCGCGATTGACTCGTTTCGACGATAACGGTGGGAAATGCTTTCTCGGTGCGCAGTATCGGTAATGCACGGCCAAGCCAACAGATGGAAAATTTGATATGCTACAGGTGCTATGCTAACTCGGTACCGTTTTTTCTAAAGACAGCCCTAATCCTAGTAAGAAAAAATTTCGACTACGGAGAGACGAGATATCCCGTGAAAGGATCCTCAACGTTACACACAGGATACGTCTTAGCGTCGTACGTTACGTCATTCCCCTGGGTCGTCCCACTTCGCTTCCTCGGCTATTCGATCGAAGCAATCCGAGAGGAACGTATACTGTAAGCACAACATTAGGGTAATTGATCGAGCGGCAGGCTTGCATGAGATTATACGCATGTCGCAGTTGCGAGTCGGTTCGCGAAAGAATCGGCGAGTACTTACATAGGGGGTGAAGACCTTAAGCCAACGGGGTGGACGATTATCCTGGCGCGTGTATTGAAAGCAGAACGCCATCCCGTCCTCGTCCACCTCCCACCGGGCGATGGTGCTCCATTGGAACTCGACTACCTGCGACTCCAAGGTACCGTCTTCCTTCGCGGCGTGCAACTTGAAGGCCGCCATGCCCACCGCCGGCACCACGTGGCCCTCCTTCCTCGAGTCGCACGCGCAATGCGGAAACACGATGTCGCCGTATCCGCTGAGCTCCCTCGCTAATTTCAGATACTGGGCAGAGACAAGATTTCGCGTAAACGCAACGATAAACGCGCGGTCGAAGATCGATTTGCCTTCATTCAGTACAAACCTCGTGCTTTCTCGACGCATCCTGCAGAGCTTTCAACTGATACAATCGTTCTCCCGCGGTGATGTGACCCCTGTTCACTTCGTCGATCGTCTGCCAAAATATCCAAGTCAATGCTTGCTCGCTCAGAGACCTATTTATATTGAAGAGCCACCTTCTTATCGCTAGACACGTCGCGCTGGCGGTCGAATAATTCTGAATGTACAAAGTATGCGGATGTTCGTGAGGTTGCAGCTTTCTCTCTGCAACACAATGGCAGTGTTAAGTCGCAGATAAGCTCGGTAAATTTATTCAGAATTTGCAAGAAGTGACGAACGAGATTCTGACGCGTACCGAAATTGTACTCGACGATCTCGAACAGGTAAAAGTACTTTGCGGTTTCCGCATCTAAGCCGACTCGGCAGCAAACCGCGTCGTAGACGTCTTTCACCGACGCCGCCTTGGGCACGGTGACGGTGACGACTTCGCGATCAGGTAGCAGAACCTTGAGATCAACCGCCGGACCCTGATCACCGTCCTCCTCCAGTCGATCCGTCAGAAATTCCTGCATGGCATCGCTCTCCGCTATCACGCGCACCGCGCAAACCTTCTCCAAATACTGCTCCAGACCGCGTCTCCTCGCGTCAAGCTGCTGCTCGCTCAATCTGCAACGTGAACGAAGGAATTCTTATTCTCCGAGATACGCGCAAATGATGTATCTCGTTTTTCGCGAAGAGAAACTTGTAAAACGCGAGTAAGTACTTTAAGATCTGTAACGTTCGATTATAAGGCGCGCCACGATACTGAATGGACTCATTCATTCCGCGGTTGAACGCGATCTACGCGCGGCGTGGGAAATTATAAGCGTGAGGACATTACTGGAATGGCCATTTTCCCGGTAACTTCGGGAAATTGAAGCCTATGAACTCCTTCTTCAGCGCCATATGTAACGCCGCGAATTCCCGATATCGGCGCGAGCACAAGTGCCTGCCGGCCATGTGGACGTTGAAGACTACGAAGCGCTCGTGTTTCCTCTCGCGGACGTGATAATCCGGCACGCTGATGGGCAGAGATCGCTTCTCGCTGTAGTCCACCGATGCGTAGCTAAACAAAAATATGACGCACTTAATACTTGTACGTTGATGCGCGCACGCATGTGTGTACATCCTTTAATCGATCAATCTAGATAGATTGTGAGATCGCCAGTTATTAGAATCATCAAGGTTGCTATTATTTCAAACGTCTTATCGGCGGGATAATCGCGACGATACCAGCAATATTGTCCAAAAATATGTCAAGCTGATAAATCGCAAAGTTTCTCATCTCACATCTAAATAGCGTGACATTCAACGCTGTTAAATATTAAAGGATGAAATTTAAACCAATCCCTTGAGTTATATAACATTTTGTTGTTTTTAACTATCATGTGTGTCGAAAATTATTATTATGCAACACGTGCATGGAAAGTGCCCCATTACGCACGCTACGCGTGCGTGATAGACCACTTTCCAGGCACTTGCAACATAAAATAGGGAGTGTAAGCCGTGTGTAAAGATGAAAATTCCCGGGTGCGGTTACCGCACTCGCCTTCGGCTCGTGCGTAAACTCCGCACCCGGGAATTTTCATCTTACCTCACTTGTTACACAAATAACTATTTTAACACTAAACAGTATTATTTTAACTTCACTGGCTTAGTTAAATTAACATTGTTTTAAATTAACGATATATTGAGTAGGAGCAATGGCGATGTATAGGAATTAGTTAAAAATTAAGACAATTGAAATTTAACAGTGTATTACCTCATATCCTCGCAGGGCTCCAGTCTCTCCGCTTCCTGCGGCGTCACGGAGATGACGGTCAGAGTGAGGACATCGCCGCCCGACTTGATCAGATCAACCACCTGCTTGTGAGTGGCGCCTTCGACGTTGACGTTGTTCCTGCAAATAGATTCTGTCATTATTATCCCCCTCACGTCTCTCTCGCCACCGATACACCGTAATACGCGCGATTCACAACTTGAACCGACCTCAATTGCGAGCGCGGCGCACCGGGGGAATTCCACCGCCTGCGATTCTCGATCCACTCGCATTGCAGCGCGGTCATGTAACACGTCAACATATTTCACGCCAAGTGCCACGCTCTTATCGGCGCTATTGCGTGCTAATCACGAGCTATAAGCCGCGTCGCAGGGTTCACGGGGCACGATCGAGAGATTCGCGGATGAACGACGATCTACGGGGCGATTTTTGCAATTCCGCACGGCGCATATCCGATCTTCGACGACCCTCCGCGACGAAAGGGAGCAACAGGCGGTCCTTCGACGAGGTCGCGATCCGGTCCAATCTCTCTCCCGTGCGTTGTCGGCTCTCGACCGCGAGTCTCAGCCAGTCGAAAGGGAATAGGTATACCCGGTAATCGGCCTTTTTAACACGAGTTTCGAATTCCGACCGGTGAAAGGACCGTCGCGATTGGTCCGCACACGGAGGCACGGCTCTCCCCGGAGGTCGTCGAATGTCGCCGTCGCGGATTTCGCACGTATGCGTGCGAGGAAAGACGCGTCGCACACTTTATACATTTTCGCTATCGCGTTGTACCGGGTGGGATCCGTTGCAAGACGTTATCTGGATCTCCGGTCCTCGTCGATCGCCCCGCTTATCGCGTCTTACACGCATTGCCTGATTCAATAAAATTTTGAAACTTACAAATTTTGACATATTTTTGTACGTGATATATGAATTAATCGCTACGTATATTAAATACTTTCGGGAGAGCAACTTTCTCGAATTTGATCGCAGCTCGAGGTTGTCGTACTTAAGGAATTACGTGAGGTAACGATCAGCATCAGGTATGAATACCGATGAACCTGTAAAATATAAGTTTCTTCTCAGCAGCGCGCGTATCAAAGCGCCGAACGTGATACCGAAAAATATGATATTTTTCGCCGGCTGACGAAATTAGATCGGGCGATCGGTCAAGAATACGACACTACGTGTGTGCTAATCTGCTAGAAGATAATGCGTTCTGATGGGCGAGTGTGTGGGCTCTCGCGAGCACACAGACGTGCGGTATTTATAAGCATTCGAGTGCGTGTCATTGTCTGGCGATAAGTTTCTTCGCGCATCACTTCCTTTCTCCGCGAGCGGATTACAAATGCACCGTGACCGTGGTGGCTATCCGAAATTAATTCACAAAGCACGGGCCGGGTCCGCTAATTGCGGCCCGACCGAGATAATAAAGCGTGGAAGACGTAATAATTCGCGCCTAAGTTAATGAGACCCGTCCCCCCTCCCTAATGGAGCTTAATGATTGACGCAATTCCGAATGAATGACTGTTCGCTTTATCGGATGGATGCAGCGAGAGCGGCACCTTTTATGCAATATTCACTTATCGTCGCTCGTTAAAACGAGAGTCATCGTCAAATCTTCGAGTCCAGCGATCTCAGTTAACGCTATGATGTATCCATTGTTTAATTTATAACTTTAGATTGGGACAGTTGTTCTTATTGCCGAGTATTATTTCCTCGATGATCAAGAAGCACATTTCCAGCGGAGAAGCTGCTTAATGCACCGCGTGAAACAACTTTTGTGGAAACCATACGAGGAGTAAGCCTTTTAAGGACATTAACATGAGAAGGTAACATAAAAGAAGTCATATATAGAATATATGCATAGCTAACGAGGAAGCACGTAGCCTGAGGTTAATATTAAAACTCTTATGCAAGCAACGTTAGGGAAAGTAAAATCGAAATATATGAAATATACAAATTATATGAAAAATATGAAAAATATAAAATAATGAAATGAAGATCGAAAGAACATTGGCCGAAGTTTCGGAATGTGCCATTCAATTTAAAAAATTCTTTAAGCTCGTTGCGAGCAGCAAAAGCCGGCTGTGGTAGACGACAGAAGCCGCAAAATTGGACGAGTGAAAGCGAGAGTCTCAATCACTTTTACGCGATAATATACATGATTAACGGGAAGAGAAGAGAATATAACGGAGAGAGAATCGGCGAGACGTTCACCAATTTGCCTCCCTCAGGCGTCGGTGAGTCGTCGCCAAGAGCCGCGGGGGGGAAGGGGGGCGGGGAAAGAATAATCTCCTTTCGATTTTGAGGAGGATGAGAAACGACATTGCTGAAATTGCTGGGTCCCTCGCAAGACAGCACGCGTCCTTGAACCTTGAACCGCGCGGAGTTTATGGGAAGCTTGGACCTCTGCGAGAGGATCGTAAACAGATTCCATCTCCGCCGATCTGCGCCGTGATAAACAAATGAGCTTATTGTCGCGACTATTATAAGTGCGAGACTCTCGATACGTCAGTGGTATCAGGCCGGTATATCGTTACGTTCCTCTCTCAATTTCATTAATCGTAAGTCGATTCCGTTGTTATCGAAATAAAGATACGGCGCGCGCAGCCCTTTTAGTCTGAGTGGCCATCGGGATCTGCGTCATACCTAAAACAAGTATATTTCTCGAGATTGATATGGTGTATCATCGATTTTCTGCGTATAGCTTTATCTTCGCGTTCACCCAAGCGTTCACCTGTAGCGTCGTAGCAATCGAATCTACCAAATATGGGCCACTGCGAGATGTACGTACGTGTACAACATGAAATTAAACTCCATGTGCAAATAAGTTGGTCCGGGATAAAGCGGTAATGTTTTAAGCAAATTAGCATTTAATTAAACGGAACACGGTTACCGGACACACATAGGCGGTAATGATCGGGTTATGCAAATTCAATGGCGCTAACGACCCCGCCGACGGAAAGTGTAAATGCACCTAGCGAGTTTAAACAGTTTCAGTTAACTAACAGTTAACTCGCGACGATAAAGATGTTCGCACGTCGCGTTTATCATATTAAGCGTCGCGATCTTTTCGACGTTAAAGCGAGCCGAGGGAATAAACTCCGAAGCATGCGTGTCTATTTATTATTTGTCGGATTAAACCGAGGATAAACTAGTGGGATGAGACTCGAGGGTATACCTCGCGTATTTCTCTTCCCCCTGGAAGGATCGGTTCACCGGTGATAGCTAACCGGTTAACGAATAGCGAAAAATTCGTTGAAATAATCGGTTAGCCAGTCTCTACGACCGGTAACCGGTCTGAAGCTCGCGGGCACGACCGATTTTGCAACTGTCGCGTTTGTTAGGCTTCGCGAACGAGACGTCAAACAGATTGAACGTATTCGTCACGCATCGTGCACGTTTGTATTTATCGTTCTTACATCAGAATTTGCAAAGCGGATATACGCTCACGTGTATGTGTACTGGTCCGCTCGGATTTTATCGCCGCCAGTTAGCGCGATTAGTCTTCTCCAATGATTATCCCGTCGAAAAGTTGTACGCGCAATGTGTAATCTGTATCTTTGCGACGCCCCTGTATTTTCTGATAAGCCCCACGATAAAAAGAAAATGTCGACCATTCGCCGATATTCCTAATGCGCGATAAAATTCTTAACGCCAGTTAGTCAGCCTAGTTTTACTTTTAAAAAAAGATAAGGAAGATAATTTACGTTGTTAACTTAAGCGAGGTTGCTGGTATCGGGCCCCGCAGGATTTCCAAGTATATCAGAAGATTATCTAAATCTGCCTTTCCGTGTGCGATGGTCAGAGCTGTAATCCTTGAGAAGCCATATATGATAACAGGCTAGTTGCCAAGCGAGTTGATCCTCGATGAATATGCATACGGTTAGAGAACGTTTAATGTATCCCCATGAAGTACCTTAAACCCGGACTGTCGACTGTACGTAGCTTTTAGCATTGATCGCGTGAGCGAAACATCGAAATCCCGATTGTCAAGTGGGAAAACAAAGATCCAGATCCATTCCTAATCGTGTTTCATAAGTTGAAAGACATTTAGATAGCCTTACAAGAGTAACGCGTGGATTGCAGACGCATTTATTGAGACTTTCGAAAGGAAAATATTTAAACTGCACAATCTTAACAGCTGTTTGCAATTTGTTTGCAAATCTCGAGTTCTCTTCATATTTAAGCTTGACTACGAATTATAATTATTATTGAGAATCATTAATCTTTTATAGACTTTTAGAATATTAAAGTTCTATTAAAGTTTTATTCTTCTTAATACACATTTCCTTTTCCTTTTCTTTTTAGAACCAGTTAATTATTAGGGTTATAAATCAAATTAAAGTAACGTAATTTTTTCTTGAAAAGGCAGAAATATTATGCGTCATAAAAGATAATAAATTATCTTTAGAGGCATTAAATAGCATCTATAGAATATCAGAATTAACTTATCATTTCTGTCGTTGAGTCTATGGAAACATTTCTGTGTTCGATATGAAAAACTTGCATCTCGGATTACGTTTATTCTCCTTGGGAAGAAAAATCTGCCACGTATCTAACATTCGTTTCTTCTTATTGTCACCATATGCGACGACAAGCACAAATACGGTGCTGTACAGATCAAAGCAAGCACTAATTTCATAAATATTAACTATAAAACTATAAAGTTGAATCTTCAACAGTAATTTCTAATAACTTGTAACAGACTGCAAAAAGACTTTGGCTTGATTTCGGATATTGGAGCGCGTTGATCTGTACATCCTTATTTCCTGCATCATCCAATTTGCAAGTTTTTCATTTAACAGCCTCAGGATTCGTGGTACACCTTGGTATACTCGCGAGTAAGTATATCCAAAACATCCCGTCTCTCCTCCGAGTACTCCGAAACGCGTACTCCAGACCAACGCGTCTCTCATTGCAGACGCGCCTCGCGTTTGATTCCTCGTGGTTCGAGTTGTGAATCGCTCCGGTTCGAATTCCAGCGCAATTTGACGCAGAACCGGAGCCGCGTCGCGTTTTCGGTCAGGGCGGTTCACGTCGGAATTTGCTTCTACTGATGGTGTTCACCGAGAGGCGAGCGCGCGGGTCGGGAACGCGGGTGGAAGGGACCCGATCCCTTTACTCACACTTCCAGGATACGGTCGCCCTTGCGGACGCCGGCCTTCTCGGCGGCGCCCCGCGGTAGCACCGCGCTGACGTGCTGCAGCGGCGCGTACAATTCGCCGTTGATGCTCCGCAACTGTCCACCCTCGCTGACCTGGCCGCGTACGTTGAACCCGAAGCCCGTCTCCGTTTTGTAGATGGTCACGCACCGCGGCCCCTGGCCGACCGGGTCCTTGTCCGGCCCGGCGGCCGGCGGATGCTGCGGCACGCGCGCGTTGTTGTTCACCATTGTCACGGTCGCCGCTACGTTCCTCGCACTGCCGTCCTGATTCACGGCTGGCAAGCGGTGCACCTCCGACTCGCAGTCCGCCATGTTGCACTCTGGCCCACTCTGGCCGCCCATTCACGACGGCTGCGGGCTGCTACCATACGCTATCATCGCTCTCGTTGTCACTTGGACCTAGGGATGATAGTCGAAGTGGAAAGGGTATCGATGTTGGCGGCGAGGCGTCGAAGCCGGTATCGATGCCGTGGCGAAAAGTCCTGGGTGAACGATATTCGAATCACGAGCGGAACGTCGATATTTGCGACTATCGATTCTAGAGACGTTTCACGCAAAAGTTATAATGATTTAAAAGAAAAAAAAAGAAGAAGCATAAATTAAAGCTTAAAGTAACGTTTATTTAATTTCCTTGGATTGTTGCAAGGAACAATGGACGTGATCTTTGATTTTTTAAGTAACAGGGTCTTAGCGATGAATCTGCTAAAATAGGTCTTTCGATATTCAAAGAGAAGCAGAAATAATTTTGCTTCTAATAAAAAGCGGAGGAAATCATAATCTTCCAGTAGTTGATTGGAATTCTCTTATGCTCTTCAATGGAAATAAAATTTCTCGAATTTTTCCGATTTTCCCCAACAATATCGCAACGCTCCTGAGCAAGTGAGCCTAGGTGTCGTCACTCATACGGAGTCGTTGCGAGACCTTTAACCGGCGGCGTGCCGCCTTTCATCTTTTGCGGTCATTGATCTTCGCTGCCTCTGTCGGTAGCGCAGCTGAAAACGACAGAGGGAGTTTTGGTTGTTGCGAACAGTAATCATTGCTGGTTGCTGAAGATCGAGAACGTGCTGCCATCAGCTTCGGTGTCTCTCACTTGCGAATAATTCCGTGCGACAAAGCGTCGAACGAAAAACTAATTTTTTTATTTTTCGACTTTGTGTTACATTTATGAACAGTAGAAATATGATGACGCAGTAAAATATCAATGGTGATTAACGTTTTCATTTTTTAAAAGCAAGATATACGCACGTTAAAAATGCTTCTGCAATCATGCTTTGATCTCTCTTATTTATTGACGATAAAATATTTTCTTATTTGAGATTTACTTTATTTTTTTCTCTGGATATAAAGATGAATAATAGATCTCGAACAGTAGATCATTAACGAATTATTGATAAATTATATTGCCCGACTTTCGCTGATCAAAGAATCACTCTCCGCCGCTGTGTATTATTAAGAGGCGCCGATATTCCGGTGAAGTTATACATCACGACCTACAAAGTAAAAAGCAAATTTTGCTCTTTTGAACATGAGATCTTAAATATATGTTACTCGGTTCTCTTAAATACCTGTTTACGAGCGAAATAACGTATCAGCGATTTCACAACGTGTGTTTAAACAATATAAATATTCCGCAGAACAATGTGAAGCTTATACAAACCGTGAGAGGTGCCTTAATTAATTTCCATCGTACGCGTGTGTCCACAAAATTTAATTTCCACTACAAACGTGTATATAAGTGAATTTTATACATAAATGAAGGATTTAACCCTGCATTTGTATGCATGAACGTTGCTTTTTTATTCGCTGTCATTTATAATTACCTAGCGAGTTACGAAAGAGAATTGTCGCGCGACGCACGTTTGGCGCTTTAAAGACGCCATATGTCCTCATTTGGTGCAATACGTATGTACATATACGCGACCTACTAAAATATTATAAAGAAGTATTTTAAAGAATCTTGTTTATAAAGATTCTAGTATTTTCTACTTTGGCAATCGTATGTATAAAATTACAGCCGCTGTATTTCTGCATTAAAACTTGCTTAAAAATAAAAGCCACTCCTTTTTATATTTTTCAGCCCGCGATTGTCTATCCTTGTTCATCGCCTACTTAACATTTTATCTATAGATGCACAGTACACCCATTAACCGTCGCCCGCTATCTAGAGTTAATATTAATTAATAATTAAGGGAGAACTAGCTTTTACCGCTGTTTTAGTGTCGCAGCATTAGGGAGGTAACTCGGAGATAAGCCAAACCGCTCGTAAAATTTTAAAACTGAAAAATTTTTGATGGAACAGTCAAAACGATATTAATGACACTGCAGTATTATATTTTTTACGATGGAACGTTATACGTTCGTGTATATGCAATCGAAATAACGTGATATGCCATGGAGAAGTAATATGAGCGTTTGCACTTTTTAAAAATGACTCGCTTTTATTCTCTGCGTATACAAATGTAATAAAAATTATATACATCTATTGTTTAAGTATATTTTTTGCAGCTTAAAAAATTATCATTTCTCTCGAAAATTAATAATAAGATTTAATAAATTAATATTTTTGACACAATATTTGATTCACATAAACTTTTTACTTTTTATTCATGCAAACCTTCCATAGATATTCTCTTATTCAAAAATTTTTTTTCCTCACAAATATATTATACTGTATTTGAATAAAAATCCAATCTCTCTTTCTTGTCATTTCCGTTATACTTGTCATTCTCCATTTCCGTTTTTTTCAAGACTCAAAACCTGCCGAATTTCGATAGGGACGGTTGAATCTGGAAAACAACGAGAGATAGAAAGCGGGGGTGAAAAAGAGAGAGAGAGAGAGAGAGAGAGAGAGAGAGAGAGAGAGAGAGAGAGAAACAGAAAGACGGGAGAAGGGGTGCGAATTCGCGCAGAGGCAACTGACTGGCCTTTCACCTGCAGGAAATCCTATGATTGATGCCACATGGCACTATGTTGCTGCCGCATTATATGCACGCGCACACATTGTATACACTGCCCGATAACTATACGGGACGAATACATACTGCAATAACTCGATATATGTAAACCGTCGTACGCGCTGCGGTGCGTGATGAGGAACGCGAAACGCGTTTACAGCTTCAGTTGAAGGACAGCGGACGAGATGCGTCCTCTCGTACGGAAGAATATAATTTACCCCAGGAAGTCGTTTCCATAGTTTTTCCCCCGCCGATCTTCTTTATTTCGCGCCGTAGTTTGTATTTATGGCGTCGTGTAATTCTGTTCCGGGCAAACATTTCTCGGAGTAGACCTTTTTGAAAACGGAAAGTTGAGTGTTTTTTCGAGACAAGTGTTTCTCTTAATTAAAAAATTTTTATCGTACTTCAATGAATAAATTTTCTAATTGTGTATCGGCTTGCTACGAGCTTTATTGTTCCCGCGATGAAAGTAACAATGAGTTATTTCATTAAAACTCTTGTCCAGAGGCAAGTAACGATGAGCAACATGATGTCTGTCTCGATAAATCGCACCAGAATATTGATCGATACAGAATATTGATTGAACTTTTATTATTTTATTTACCAGTATCTTTGTTGAAAGATATAAACCTATTCTCTGACTTATAAATTTTTGGACTTTTTACGCGTTTTGACAATTCTAATATCTACCAACCATTTATTTGACACTGAATCTAGTCCGAGGTCGTTATTTTTAAAATTGAGAAGTCGAGTTTTAGAGAAAGGGGATTTTATATTATTTTCTCTTATATATCTTTTATATTATATTACTTTTCTCATTTAATTTCTCTGTTTATTTAGAAGAGATAAGCAAAGGAAAGAATATTAAACTTTAAATTTATTGTAAGACAAATACAAATTTAATTTGCACCGCATACGCATTCAGCGTTGCCAGTATCTTGGACTAAAGTCTGACTAAAGTCCTATAAATCCCAAAGCATTATATTGCTAAACTTTAAATGGGTTTTTCTCAAAAAGTTGATTTTCCTCATAAGCCGGATTTCTTCGGTGAGAATAACGCTTTCACTGATTACTGAAAAAATAAAGCGATTCGATTAAACACTTCATCCTTTCAGCACTATAAAACCGCTGCAAGTTGGAATGTAGAGCGCTGCTACGAAAGGAATTTTCGCATCCGAATCGAAGTCGAACACCGATGTTTCCGAATGTTTCAGGAGTCAAGTGACAGTGACGATACATCACAGAAAACGACGGTGTTACGTTGCTCCTCGCCGTGATGTTGAGAAGTTTCTGTGAATATAGTAAAGACTGATCGCGCGACACGCGTCGCGTCGCGTCGGGCCGACTCTCCTGACCTGAGGGTCCATCCGCTTCGCCGGGGGGTCTGCGAACGCGTTCTCCAGTTCCCTCGCATCGGCGTCGGCGGATCCGCTGCATCCGGAGCACGCCCACGGGCGCACACGTGACGCAGGATGTACCCCGCGCGACGACGCGGTCCGGCGCGGAACGGCGCGGCGCGCCGCCACCGCTGCAGAGCGGCCGTAACGTAGAGAAAGTCAGTCCGATGTTGGCGCCGCAACAGACGTACCGGTGGTAGGACGCGTCTCCCTGTAAAAAGCCACCCTTCCGCCCCCACTTGCCTCACCCACTCCGGAATCGGGGGTACCACCCGCGACCGCGCGCTCCGCTGTCGATTAATATCGCGCGGGGGCACCGAAAGAGGGGGGCAAAAAAAAAGAGGAGCAAAGCGAGGAGAGCGCGGATGTGCCGCGCCGATTGTTTACGCGAAGGCAACATTGTTGAGAAATATCTTGGAAGAGGAAGAGGCAAATCGTTCGCGTCCCAGATCCGTATCCAGTGGGGGATCGAGATCGATCCTCGGTGCTAATCGAGGGTGTGGACCACGTATCCGCGGGATTACCAGTGATCAACGAGCGGGTCGCGGTGCACGCAGTGCCTTTTTCCTTTCGTCCTTCGTTTTTCGCGCGCGGGTTCACCGTCTTCGCTGTCTTTCGGTCCCGCCCCTTCCGGTTGGCGCCGTCAGTCCGACGTCCGGTCTCCGCGTGGACGCTCTAAAGTGGCTGAGTGACTCTTCGTCCCTGCCGTGGGTGGCTTATTCTCGTCCCGTTCTTTCGCTGAGAGCCGCAGCATGCTTTCGTCCTCGAGGGCTTTCCCGCCGATTCTCGCCGTGGCGCTCGTCGTCTGCATCGGTGAGTGTTGCGTCAGAATAAAAAATCGTTCCGTTTTTAAAGAAGCGAGATATAATCCACGGGGAAATCAATTTCGACGAAGATCCCCGCGGAATTAACGTTACAACAAAACCATATGCGCGGGTTGATTTGCGGGTTTGAAAATGTGTTAGGGTGTGCTGCGTTTATGAAAGTTTGGGGGGTGGAGGGGTGCCCGAAACTGCGTGCTCTGAATTTCTTCAGGAATCGTGATGCATATGCAATGTATTTATTAGATACCAGTGGGGAACAAAGTCTGCGGTCCACTTGACGCTACAAATGCTTTGAAACGTTCTTCTTCTCCTTCTTTCTTCATTGAAAGAAAAGAGAAGAGGAATGCTTCGAAGCATTTGTAGCGTCAAGTGGATTGCAGCCAAAGAATGAAGAATCAGGTTCATTTTCGGATTGTTGACGCAAGTCGTTGATGTCTTAAAATGTTCAACAGCTTTTTGGTACCAACGGTTTCGTAGAATTGCAAGCAGTAAAAACAACAATATTGTCGAGAATAACGTCAAGCTCCCAGTTTGTACCTCTTGTTACATGTTAACTGTTCGATAAAATAAAAGACATTATATCAATAGCAACTAATCGTCATTTCGCGGAGTTATCAAGAGATTGCTTAATTAAAAGTCGGCAAGTGTACAATTAACGCGATTTTACGTATCGCACGTTACTTGCCGTTTAGTAATGCTATACACGGTTTTTTATGTAAGTGCAATAAGTGCTCGCGCAATTGAGAGATCGATTTTTTAAATATTAATTATCGCGAAAGATATAAAAACGTCATAACGACTGTCTCGCGAATAAATTTAGTTGCCTCCAATCCAGATGAGAAGATTCTTTTCTCCTCTTTTCTATTTAATTAATAATTGAAGACTGTTTTTTAGTTAATGACACAATCGAGACACGTTTCCGTTTGTAATACATATAGTTTTCTTGAACATTCTGTGTGTCCACTGGATAAGGCGGTGGCTTCCTCGGGGTTACACAGTTTCCTGTTACACGACATTTTAACGAGAACAATGGCGACGGTTCGTTAAGGGGGCGAATTTGCCAAGAACGAAATTGTGTCGACACTTATCGACACGACTCGGCTTGCTCGATAACGAGCGACATCGAATATTCGTATCTGAAATCAACGCACGGTCGGACGCTGGCGATCGCGACTAATTTAATTTTCGACTGCCCAACGCCCCACCGTAAGCGATACCACCGTGAATTCCGTGGGGGAATGCGGGCCGAGAGAACTGTTTGCTAGCGGAAGATATAGGTTGCCATGTAGATATGCATGATTATTACGCATAAGTAAGAAGTTTTTACGACTTTACGTCGATTGCGAAATGTTTTTCAACTCGTTGAAACTGTCTGCCGTCATAAGCGATGTGATAAAAAAGTTGCGAGTCGCGTTCGCGATAATATTCGCGATAAATGGTCGATGGTTATATATTTTTGAGTTGCTGCAGTAATCGAGAATTATTCTAAAATGGGTTTAATTTATCGATAGAGATACACATTTGGACACTCATATTTCCCCTGTCGTCAATCTGCAATGTCCTGTACCGGACGATTATGCGCACACAGTTACATGCATATATCGATGGGCGTTTTGCGCAGATTATAGCTTCCCTCTCCCCCTCGCCCCTCGAATGAAATTGGGATTTCGGGAAGGACGTTCTGCGCTATATGTATATACATCCGGTATCTAGCGGCCCAATTCCGCAGTAATAGTGTAATCTTGCTGATGAACTGACTTTTCCCAAGTATTACATCTGCCTGCGGCATGTGAGATCCAACGATGAAATCTATCTTAAAGGTCAACATAATTATGCTGTTGGATTGCAGTGCGAGGGAAGTCGAATCTTTTGAGATTGTACAAAACGCCGCGTTGTAGTTTCTTCGTGCTTGATAAAGGTCAGCGTAGATTAGGCGTGTTTACGCAGAACTTGCTACATTTCTGAAGAAGCGGGAATTTTCACGCTGGATTTTACAAGTCCAACTGATGATACGCAACGTTAAGACTATTATCGCGACGAAGGAAATTAATTAAAATTAACTAAGGTTTAAGGTAATATGCCTACTGCCTATAGCCTCTCTCTTTAATTAACTTCAAATTTTATTTCGAGATTATATGAGCAAAGAAAAACAAATGTGACCGATCGCGATAGAATAGGCAAGCTGTTAATCACGATCTGAATGAATCGAGCCTCTTGGAGGCAATCACGTAATGGAGGCCCGTTTTTGCGCGGGCACATCATTTAATAGAGCGATGAATATGGAGTCACTGTACTCTCTCTCTCACGCGCGCGAACTTCCGTCCCGGGAAGCTGGGTAATCCGGAGTGTCACCCGCGCCCTGAAGCCCACCCTATTCATTTGGAACAGTAAAGCGATATGGTGCCGTAAGTATACAAGGTGCGCAACCGTCGCTTTATTGCTTCGAGCATCCGCGCGTTGAAGGATTACAAAAGGGCGCCGCTAAATCCGATTCTAATCCTCACCAGCGCTCGCAATTGCCGTCCCGGGAGCCACTCCCGCCGCGACACAATTGTTTACTTCCGCTTGTATTTAGATAGGATAATTCTTACGCGTACTCTATTTTCCTCTCTTCGGAGTGAAGCGCTTGAATATCAGTACAGTACTATATTTTTCATCCCCTGACGCACGAGTCTCTCTGTGTTATTACACGACCGTCGATAGATCTCGAATACGCGCCCGTTCGAGCGTAGCTTTTTCGAGTCCCAGAAAGGGATGCGGTGCATATATAGGAAACCCCGGCAAAACTGGGATACGTTTGTATCTGATAAAATGTCGATGTGGGCCGGGGTTTCGCTCGCGATGTTTACTATTACGCGCCTTTGGAAACTTTGTGTCCCTTCGGTATCGCGTACCGTTGCAAGCAATCGAAATGTCCATGTTGGATGGTCGCGTATCTCGAAGTCAAAAACACGGAGCCTCGAAAAAATAGGTCGGGGGGGAAAGATACATTTGACCGAATTGCCGCGACCCGTTTCCTTTGTGCCGCGCGTTCGACGCTGTTAATCCTGACGAGAAGGTACATGGCGCATCGAAGGTCGGTGTAGAGTATGAAACCAAAGAAAAAAAAGAAAAGAAAATGGAAAACCGCGCGCGTCGACAATGACCTCAATTTGTAAGCTGTAACGAGTCCCCGACTTGGGCCGAAATTTCGATCGTCCACTTCTCCCCCGTTCGCACGATCCGATATCTCGACGTTCACGAGTCCCTCGTCGAGAATTGATCGCGGAAGTCATGAAATTATTGCGATGTACGTTAATGCCTATCACGTCATACATTACCCTTATCGGGTCCGGCCGGGAAGCAGCTGCATAATCTGACTCATTGCCGTTGCCATATCGCGCGCGTCGTGATTTCTCGCGGTCCATGCATCCTCCTACTGTTCGCGTTCATTCGTTCGATAATGATTACAAGGTCAGCCTCGACGATTTCGCGATTGCCTTGTCGAAATTTCGATTACGAGAAAATGACGTCTTTAGACAAGCGCTTAACGTAACGCTCTGAAATCGATGAAACCGAAAATTTATTGGAGTTATATCGCTGGAGATCAATGGAGAAATATTCTCGACGCAACGAATAATGAATATCGGCTCGCATTGTATCCACATTTATTAAACTCTTGCTACGCAACGTAGGCGGCTGGATGAAACGCTGTTTCCTGTTGTAAACGTTAACATTGTTTGCGAGGCGTTTGCTAATACCACCCCCGTCGCGTCTCTAGATGCAGCGAAAGCGCGGACAAAGGAGAAGAAGCGGTGGTTGTCTTCTTGAAAACATTTCCCTGATAATGTCATCGCGCGGTTGTCTGCCCTCCTTTTTTCTTTCTTTCTCTCTCTCTCTCTCTCTCTTTCTGTCTCATAATTCTTATTATTCCTTTATGTTTACGGCTTTGTATCAATCTTATTTTCGAGAGCGTTTACAGCCACTCGTTCGTCAAATCGACGTCGCCGGAGGAAAAACAAGAATCGGCAGGATGACGCGTCCACTGACAATGAGACCGTCATTCGGAATAAACGTAGATACCACTTTCTTACCTTTTTCGATGTTTTCCCGACAACGCGGATAAACACTCTCTTCCCTCCCGGACGTAACCGTTCCGCGTTATCGCGCAAGTTCAATGTTATAAGTAACTCTGTGGCGAGCGCCACCGCGTCCTCCCATCTCTTCAAGCTATATTTGCGTTTTACGACTCGCGAAGTTCTAACCGGCGAAAACCGCGAATCCTCCGGTCTCTTCCCGGAGAAGATCAGCGGTTGGGACCGACGTCGGATCTGTGACGGCCGTTAATCCTTCGACGGACGGAATGCACCGAACGTCAGCCTCGTTGTTGGCGAGGGAAATCGGGACCACTGTTCGGTGAAATTAGAACATCATCGCCATGCATAGTTACGATCCGACGGGTGGCTATCGGATAGTCGACGACATGACTTATCATCACCGCGAGCCTCGAAGTTGCCTCATAATTCAACGGCGATACGTCGGTTTATCAATTCGTGAATGCAAACAGTCGAAGTGGGGATAAATCTAGACCCGATTACCGATGTGTGGAATTTTGTTGAGAGAAAATATCTCTCGGCGTTTTCCATCGCTTGTTTTTGAGCATCAAATGAATTGCGTTCATTTCCGTCCACAAGCAAATGCTCGCTCGCTTGTACTGCTGCCGTTTATCTAAGAGAACAAGACATCTTCTTTACGAGCGACTCAAAAGAAGCAGCGTCAATCTTGGAGAATAGTCTCCGCTGTTAATAGAAGAAATAAATAAATCGCGAATTCGAGCTGAGTCTAGGAATGCATCGTGTCGCCATTGCGGATGGTACAACGCGACGGATCAGTCACGAAAGATCGTGGAAGTCAAGCGAATGCAGAAAACGACCGTTTACGAGCGTGATTGAATGTCCCTTCAGTCCTTCCATTCACGAGTTAGAGACGCAGTCATTTTGCGCACACACA